ATGGTTGAATAGTATTCCATGAAGTATATGTGCCACACTTTTTCAATACATTCATCTGTTTGTGGACATTTAGATTGGTTTCATGTCATAGCAATCATGAATAACGCTGCAATGAATATAGATGTGCAAGCACTTTTCCAACTGAGTATTCTCCTATTCTTTGGGTAGATATCCAGGAGTGGAATTGCTCGATCATATGGTAGTTCTATTTGGAGATCTTTGAGGACCCTCCATATTGTCTCCACAGTGGCTGAACCAATTTACATTCCCACCAACAGTGGAGGAGTGTTCCCCCTTCACCACATCCCCTCCAGCACTTCATCATTCTCACTGGGGTAAGGTGGTATCTCATTATGGTTTTGATCTGCATCTCCCTTATGATGAGGGATGTTGAGCATTTTTTCATATGCTTTTTGGCAGTTCATATGTCTTCCTTAGAGAGTTGTTTATTCAGCTCATTTTTCCCATCTTTTAACTGAGTTAATCGTTTTCTTCCAGGTAAGCCACTTGAGTTCCCTGTGTATTCTGGCTATCAGTCCCTTATCTGAGGCACAGTTAACAAAAATTCTCTCCCATTCCTAGGGTTCTAGATTCACACTAATTACTGTGTCCTTTGCTGTGCAGAAACTTCTTAATCTGATGTAATCCCCCTGCCTATTTGGGGGATTATTGCCTATGTTTTGAGGGGTCTTGCTTAAGAAGTCTTTGCCTACTCCAATGTCTCCCAGAGTTTCCCCAGTGTTTTCCACCAGTCATTTTATAGTTTGCAGTCTTAGGTTTAGATCTTTGATCCACTTTGAGTTGATTTTTGTTAATGGTGACAGATACAGGTTCAGATTCATCTTTGTGCAGGTGGATACACAGTTTTTCCAGCACCATTTGCTAAAGAGGTTTTCCTTTTCCCACTGGATTGACTGGTACCCTTTGTCGAAGATAAGCTGGCTATATGTTTTGGGGTTATTTCTGGGGTCTCTACTCTGTCCCATTGGTCCTCATGTCTGTTTTTGTGCCAGTACCATGCTGTCTTGATTATCACGGTTTTGTAATATATTTTGGGATCAGGAAGTGAGATGCCACCTACTTCATTCTTCTTGCACAGAATGGCTTTAGCAATATGGGGTCTTTATGGTTCCAGACAAATTCTATGATTGTCTTTTTTAGATCTGTGAAGAATGTCTCTTGTAATTTTATAGGGGTTGCATTAAATATGTAAATTATTTGGGGTAGGATTGCCATTTTGATTATATAAATTCTGCCAATCCAGGAACATGGGATGTCCTTCCACTTTTTTGTGTCCTTTTCAGTTTTGTTTTGTTTTTTTGTTTTTTAAGGTTTTCATAGTTTGTCTTATAGAGGTCTTTGACTTCCTTAGGGAAAAGCACTTTCTAAAAATCCTTTTGTAAAATAGTGCTAATTCTCAAAGGAAACAATCTACTGAAATAACAAGAGGTTTGACTTCTGGGAGAACTTTCTAACCCAACTAAAGGCCTCAGCTGCTGAGAGAAGCTTCAGCATTCTCTGAACTTTAGAACTAGGAAACATGCCCTGCAACAGAGAATGAGAGAGGTGGCTGGAGAGGATGTCTTGAGTATTAATGATTCTTTAAATAAAAGACCAGACAGAAATTGCAGTTCCTTCAAATTACATGTATCACTTAATTGGGAAAGTTTTCCTCATTGCTACAAGTTCAAATCCTGTTTAGTATTCTATGGAGATCCTTCTAATTCAAGGCAGTCCCTGTTTGTTTGGGTTATTTCCTTTTTTAGATTGCAAACAATTATTTGTTAAGAATTCCAGGGACAATGGCACCCTGTCTGGACAATGGCACCCTTTCCTGAAAAAGGGCATTTCTCTCTGTTCTCATGTTCTGCATCGTAGGTTGGCTTGGTGGGAGGTCTGTGGGGCCTGCCTGAGGGAAGGGCGCGATCCCAGGGAATAGACGTCTCTGTGGGCATCCCGCGTGCACTGCGGCCGGAAACCGCCGCTGGCCCGCCGTCGGTGACCAGGCAGCCTCGCCGCGTCAACCTCCTTCGAACCGCTGAGTGCCCAGCGGTGCCCACGAAGCAAGTGCGCACGGAGGCGAACGGAGGGGTGCAGACTCCTGAGTTAGACCCGGGACCAGATCGTCAGGACTCAGAAACGTCAGCAACCAGAGCGAGCGGGCAGGGGTTCAGCCGAGTCTGGGAGCACAGTTTCTTTTCTTTTCTTTTTTTTTTTTTTTTTTTAAGAATTATTTGCTTTTTCATTTAACTTTATTATTTTCCAGTTTGATCAGAGAGAGACAGAGCAAAAGGGAGAGAAAGGGAGAAAGCAAGGACCAGGTCCAGGACTCCAACCATGGTCGGCCATAGGGGAGGCCAGCGCCTTTAACCACCATGCCACCTGCTGGCCTCAGAGAGTGCGGTTTCTGTGAGCTAGGACTTCTACCGGAGCTGCATGAGTGTAGGAACCCCTGCTGCAGTTGGAATTCTCTGTAACGCACTTCTAGATCCTACTGTGACCTCTGTACCTGAAAGTGAGGAGACTGGTTTCTGTTGAGGGGATTTAACTAAACGATGTGACATGATCTCTTGCCAAGATCTTTTGTTCATAAAGTTATATTCAGTGCAACCCATAATTCTACCCAAGATAGACACCGGCCTGAGGGCGCTCTTCCCAGGACCTCTTTTGGATAAGTTTCAAACCACCGATAAAATGCTTCAAAGCACAAATGCTTCCACAAAGGCAAAAATCCGAAATTTAAACACTCCACCTGCTTGAAACCAATAGACAATTGAAAAAGAACCAACTGAACTGATT